TACTGCGGCAACACAAAGCGAACAACGAGAAATAAGCAGAATGTTCGAGGAATGACGTAGAATGTTCCACAAAGAGAAACGTCAAGTTGGATGAACACTGCGAACAGCGTGAGAAAGAGAATGAGCGATAAACTTCAGAATGTTCTAGAGTTGCCATAAGTGCCAGCGCAGGTATATAAGGGCGCCGCCACAGCGGAGTTGAGTTAGTTACGAGTTACAAGTCAGCAAGCTACAAGTAAAGTGAGGGGAGAATTGAGTTGCGAATAAGCAAGCTATAAGTTTAATTGTGTTAACAAGTAGTAAAGCGTTGTTATTGCTTTAACAAGTATTGTAAAGTGTTTTTACTGTATTAGCAAGTATTGTAAATTGTTTGTTGTACAATAAAGTTAATTGTACTACAATTTGGTCATCGTTAGCATTTAGTTAACAATCCAGCGATACGAGCCCGAGTATATTTGGGAAATCCCTCAAGGTTTCGAGGATAATCGTAACAATACAATAAGTCGCAAAAGACAATGCAGAAAAAAAGAAGATTCACTAAAACAAAAAAACGGCAACGCCAATAGCAGCAACAAACCACCGAAATATACAACAATTTTTTGGCATGGCGTGGAAAGCAATTTGTTGTTGCAGTTGCAGTAATAGCAAAGTAAATAAATGTTTAAATTGAAGATAAACAAAGCATACAGGCAATCACATATCACATACATATGTACATACATATGTATACAGTCAAGTCAAGTATGCCAGAAATAAGAATGCACGACAACGGTATTGTGAAGTGAATTTGGATAAAGTTTTTTGCGAAAATAGAAGCAATAAAAGCTGCGTTTAGCAATTCATACCTATGTGCATAAATACATACCTACATACAGAAATGCAAGCCGAATATCTCAAACACCAAGCCAGCATACAGTCTTATATGGTAGACAGACGGAGAAAATTAATTTGAATTAATAAGCATAAATGCAAATTAAAATTTTACCCTTACAGACGGCAGTAATGCGAATAAACCAGCCGCAAGGTCGTGGGTTCGAGTCCCACGGCCAGTATACTTTTTGAAGTGAAACTTCTTAGGCGGCGGTATCGCAAAAATGGAGAGTGAATTTTTTAAAACTGAAAACGTTTCAAGAGTGAGAAGGAAGATATAGGTAGTATAGGGAAGGGGAAAAAAGAAATAAAACGACGCATGACGGTTACGAGTACCTACATATGTATATATGTATGTTTGAATGCACGTATGTATGTATACATATATATATGTATACATATATATGTATGTATGAACGAACTTATTGCACATTTCAGCGCTGCCGCTACCAAGCAGTATATGTATAAATGATGCAAGCGTGCTTCGCGTAACTACATCCATTCGTACATATGTACATATGTTTGTATGGATATATTTATGATGAAGCAAACGGGCTTCGATGATGTAATGATGGGCATATGTATGTACGTATGGGCAGCAATGTTTTCATGTATGTACATAGGTTTGAATGGTTGTATATATATTTGTATGTATATACATATGTTTGTGTACATGTATATATGCACATATGTAGTACAAACAAAAACAAATCTAATAGGTCCCCTTTCAGACATGTCAAGTCTTGCTTTCAAGTCTGCTTGTTCGTTGGCGAATGAGGTGTGAAGAGAGGGGAAGAGTACAGATACCTCCGTACCGTCAATTCGTTTCAAGTTTTCTTGTTCTCTTTTGATCTTTGCGTTGCTTCCCATTTAAAGATCCAAGGACTTGAATTCAATAAAACTTGACGCGTGTGGAAGCAAAGAGAAAACACAAAAGAGAATGCGATAAAAATTGCTTTCAAGACTGATTGTTAAAAATTATGTTTGTTGTACATTTGTTCATGTTTGTCATTGTGCGTGTAATTTTCAAGAGCAGTTTTGTGCTCTTGCTATCTCCTTGTATTAACTCGTCCTTCGTTGGTATACTCTGATGAACATATGTGAGGATGATAGCAAGGCCAACTTATCTAAGGTAGTGTTACAGGAGCAGTCGAAATTTTCGCCCGATGTTTCTTTAAGAAAGCCATAAACGTAGCGACTGTTGGTTCAACTTGGTGTTGTTTTGCTCTAGATTGCACCGTTTGTGGGCCTGTTGAATGAATTTATGTCTTGGTTGTATGAAAGATCAAAAAATTTGGATTTTCTGGCAAGTTGTACAACTTATCGCTACATTAATGGCCATGTTGTACAAACTTATTTAATTTTCGTTTATCTTGTAAACTAAATAACCGAAAATGGATAACTCAGACGAAATAGGTACGTGTTTTCGTTGAATTTTATAAATGTAAGCCGAAACTATGAAATTGGAAAAATGAGATTTTACAATGAGAGTGCTCGCAAAATTGCAATGTTTGTGGGCAAAACGTTAAACTTAATTGCGGATTGATTTGCACCAACGTTTTGGCTTGCATTATGTCATAAGGATGTGTTTGTTGTAATTCATTCTGTCATTTACTACCACTATGCGTAGGCCAATTCATGAAATCATTTCATGCATTTGAGTAGAAATTGAATGAATGAATACCATTTCATGATTTCAATTAACGCGAAATAGAGCTTATGAACTTAGTTTTTACTCAGATCGATGAAATGATTTCGTGAATTGGACTACGCATACATTTGATACTAATGCTTTTAATTTACAAGGTAATTTTATGTTTTTATACTCTTGCTACCACATGAATATATGAATTCGTGATAAGAATATCTGAATTCGCCTTGGAAGATAGAAAACGAGTAAGAATAAATGCCGAACAAAGGAATTTGTCTTCTTTCAACTTAATAAATGCATTTCGCAAACAAGAGTGCGTACGTTACTTAGTGCCTTGGTAATGGCGAATTCGTAAGGATTGCATTATAAACACTTTCATTTATTTGTTAAACATACAATTACTTCCATTACAACCCGGTCCTATGGATGCTAGAAGCGCGAATTCATGTAAGGTGGTATTACCGGAAAATGAATAAATAAATTATATGTATATCAGAAAATTAATAAGATGAAATGAAATTATTGTTTAGTTTCTAACCAAACCTATGTATGTAACTCAATCGCCTAATGGTTTGCCGAACCGTAAACATATGTTTACACATCCAATTTCGTGAGTAGGTACCTGGTACTCACACCTTTTTAAGAAGTTTCACTTCTATCATGTGTACGATGATACACACGCATTTTTTTTTATTTCTTTTTCATTCTTTTTTTTTATAAGTTCTATATTTTTTTTACGTTACTTTCAGTTAGTTGTTGTTAAATTTTTAACAAAATTCATCTCTAACAATTAAAATTAACTAATATTAAAATAAGAAATGTGATATAAAATAAAGCAAATGAAAATAAAATAAAGTAACATTAAATATATAAATAAAATAAAATAAAAAAATATAAAATAAATAATAAAAACAAAAAATTTTTCGCAATCGCTTAAACCAAGTATCGAACCTGGCAGCTACAGGCTTGTAGCTCGCAACTCTCACCAGTCGGCTACCGCGTACGCGAAACTCGACTGCTTCGTTTGCTTACTTGTACAAAAGACAACAACTGGCCGTTTTTACCAGTGTTGTCATCGAAAATTCCCCGGATCCGAGTTAATTCCCAAAAATTTCGTGCATTTGTTCGGCAGCTTATGCTCATTTTAAAGAGGAAAATGTATGAGTTAAAGCAAATAAGGCTAGTTATGCAAATAAGCGAGCCCGTTTGTCTACCGCATTACGTATGTACATATGTATGTATGTATGTATGTATGTTTATGGATACGTACATTTGCAGTCAGTGAAGTGCTTTTCGCGTCATCAACGAAAAGCTAAGAAATAGCGCAGCAACAAGGGTAATGTATTTTATAGCTTTATAAACTGATATTTTCATAAAATTTCTATGTTGTGTTAAGCTAGGTTATGTTATATATTCTTCTGTAATGTTATGTGATATTATATTATATATTATGTTCTGATATATTAAGATATTTTAAGTTATGGTATGTTACGTAGGTTGTGTTATGTTATGTAACTTAATGCTATGTTATGTTATGTTATCTGCTATGTTGTTACGTTGTGTTATGTTTTTTACGAGGCGTAAATCTATCGAAAGCCTTGGTCGGTGTAGCACTTTAACATACTAAGTTATGTTATGTTATTTTGGAGTTATGTCATTGCGCTATGTGATATTGGGTTATGCTTTATTATGTTATGTGATATTACGTTACGTTTTGTTATGTAATTTAATATCATGTTGTGTTATGTTATGTTATGTAATGTTATGTTGTGTTATGTTATGTTATATTGTTATGTTATGTTATTATGTTATGTTTTTATGTTATGTTATGTTGTCATGTTGTCATATTATGTTATGTTTTTTACGAGGGGAAAAGCTATAGACTTACAACCACCGAATTCTACTTTGTAAGGTTAATTTTATGTTGTATTAAGGTAAGTGATGTTGGTTATGTTAATTTAATGTAATCTAATTTAATGTTAAATTACATTGAGTAATTTAAAGCTATGTTTTGTTATGTAATTTCAAGTTATTTTATATTATGATATTTTTTAAATTATTTTTTATTTTTTATTTTTTATTTCATTTGAAATTAATTTTATTTTGTTATTTTTTTAAGTTTTTCTTTTTGTGTTACCTTTGTTTGAAACCAGTTTTTATTCACAAGTATTGCCCGATTGCAACAGCAGATTTTCTCTCTATATGCATACAATTAATGCAAATACCACTGCAACGATCTGAGAATTTCGTAACCAGCAAAAAAAAAACATGCACTGAAATAGGCGTAGTAAGTACATACACATGGAAAAAATACCGAAAAGCGGGCAGAAATAAATTAAAATATTTTATCAATGCCGGCACAGCACCATTTTACGGACACACATCAGTCCCAGCCCCGCTATCTAAATACATACATATGTATGTATGTACATATACTTTAAATCCATTTGTTGAAGTTTTTAACAAAAACTTTACTTACATACATATATTCCAGTGTAGTGGTAGTGTTGCTGGTGGCTAGCTGCCGTATTGGCAACATAGTCTACATTTTTCTCTGCATTTTCCAACTTTTGGTATTTACTCGATTAGGCTTTTTCCCCGTCTTATCTACGCCGCACAGTGTATCATTTCAGTATTCTAGAAAAGATTAATTCCATTATTTTATGTCACCAAATTTGAAAACAACGTCAAGAATGTTTTCAGAAATGCCTGATAAAGAGGAAACAATAACAACTAAAAAATTTTAATCAAAGTGTATGGCGGGACGGGGTTTGGTTTGGAAAATTACCGAGCACAATAATATTTAAACTTGTATATTTGAAACTGAATCTCAATGCTTATTTTGTCGGTGTTATGTCATTTATGCAACAATTACTAAAATACCATTTTGGTCTTATTTGCTTGGGTATGTTCTTTTTAATGAATATAAATTTTTGGGATTTTAGTAAACTAGAACTGAGTATTTCATGTTAAAGTAAAACGACGTTAACTTAAATTTATTTTTAGCAATTTATTAATTTCATTAGACCCGCAAACTCGTTATCCGCCACTATTCGATAAAGTTTGTATCTCAGTTTATTTGCCACTCCTCTTAGACTTTAAACAACATAATTTTAGCTGCTGGAAAGTGCAGGTTTTGATGAAATTTTTTTTTTCTGGCCTACTGGGAATTTCATTTTTCTCAAGTAATTCATTTGCATTTTAGCTCGATCGAGACAAATTCTTATATTTTCGTTTTCAACAGAGAAAGCTTGATTCATTACCTTTCCAATGGTATCCCATTTCTGTAAATAGAGTAAGAAGTATTGAACTTATAACGGAATTTCTTTGACCCAACTTGACTTTTTTATCGATATTATCCACGCCCACAATTAAAAAAAAATACACTTATTTTTAAGTCCATTTCTGTCAGTTTATAATTCCTTGTTATAGGGAAATTCTAAATATCAATTTTGGGCATTTTAGCCTTTGTAGTTAGTTAAATATTTCAGTTTTTGCATTTTTAAAAATTGCAGTTATATAATAGGGTGGCATGACAGTAACTATAAATTACCAATTTTTTGTAAAAAGCTTCGCCTATCTTATAACGTACCTTGTGCAAAATTTCATTAATCTATCTTCAATAGATTTCGAATTACAGAATTAAAAGCAGCTAGATGGGTCAAATCTTACACTGTGCGCCGGGGAGGTCAAAAAGTTCGAGAAACTAAAGAGAAGGTGGTGGTACATATTAAATATGAAATTAGTTTTCCTTTTCGGCATATTTCTAGCTCAGCCTAATACATACATTACATACCTCAGAGGAAGCATAGTGTAAAACCTTGCTTTGGTCAACACTGGTCACGGCATTGCAAATATTGATACGATTTTACATTCTCATCAACAGGAGCTTTGTTTCCAAAATCGTTTACCTCATCATTGCAAAGAATGGATAGATACACAAAAAGTATTCCGGCTACACTTCATCGTCAAGACAGTAAGGAAAAATGGGATTGTCATTTACGCCCAAAAATGTGTCAATTAGCCGATTTCAAAAAAAATTAGGGGTATACTGTTGACGTCCAAAGGCATTTCGAAACAAACAATTTTTGTTTCCGCTCCACCTTGTAAGTACTAATTGGGCCTTCGGGAATCAATTACCAAGCAGTAGAGCAGTAGAGTCCTGAGAACAGTCCCAATGAACGACGCAATCGACATAATGATCTTCTTTAGCTCGAATCCGAATGACGACCTGCTAGTGTGGAGAATCTAATCAAAGCACGAAACTTATTTCTAAATAAATTTTCTTTCCGATATACTTGTTTATCTGATTTGAGTCTGCCTTGGTTGCGACTCAATGCTCAGTACAAAATGTTGAGTTTAAACTCAATTTCCCCGTACATAAATCTTAAGCTGAATTAGAACTAGCTGAAGTGTTTGCCATCTAACTTTTCCTAATAGTCCTGAATAAAGCCCCGAAAGGTCAAAAATAGATTAAGAAAAAAATTCGAATAGTTCCAAAATATGTCGATCAATGCTTAAAAAAGAAAAAGAAAAACTAGGTACTGGCAATTTTCATTTCAAAATATAATGGCTCATTAGAGGTTTCTTATGGCACTTTTTCATAATTTTTCGTTTCAAATATTGAAATTAGAGGTTAGGTTATGTTACGGTGGTTTTCCCAGATAAGAGTGACACACTCGCACACTAAGCACGAGAGCTGCGCAGTATTATTAGTAAGGATGTGCGAGCCATGATCCCACCTTTCTATCCTCCTGGCAGCTGGGAAAGGAAAGATCAGGTAAGATTCCTAGGTCACTGGTGCCCCCCATAGCTCCCTAGCTGAAGATGTTTCAAGGGTACATTTTCTTGCCTAAAGTCAATGAAAGCTAGCTAAAATAGTCTCCTTCTAATACCCCAATAGGCTTGAAAAAAAAAAACTGAAATATAAACACAAATCTGAAAATTCCTAAAGAAGGAAAATTCTCAAAAAATCCCCCTTTCTGCTTAAAATATTTTGGCCCTTGAGAGAATTCAAATAGCACATTTTTTCACTGTTTTTGGTTAGGTTAGGTTACGGGGGTTTTCCTAGATAAGCGCGGCGCATATGCTTACCTCCTTAACTGACGTAATACAACAATAAGTCCACTGATTTTTTAATGACAGCCACGGAAGCCTGAGTTTAGTGTCGATGGGGAATTCTCCGTACAAATATCCTTACCAGCCCTGCATAGCCCTAGGTTTCGATGCATCCCAATTAGGGCAACTTCTTGTACGCGATCCACCAAACATGGACTCGGTAAGAGCTATGGCTCGTTACCACCACAACTCCAGAATCGGGCCTAAGTACCTGACTCTGTCGGAGAGCTGCAAGCGGACAACTCCAATTGATTGTTCAAAAGTGTTGCAAACTTCAGGGGGCAAGTTGTTGCATGCAGTTTAAATTATAAAACAAACACAGTGTGTCCTAGAACACCCGTCTCTAGAAGGGAGGGAAATGGTTTTGATTGAAAAATGCTAAAATACGGTCTACGAAATCGGGATTGCTCTATCTTTCGGTAGTATTACTGACCGGAATTCCAGTTTTTTTAAATTAGACATACATGTTTTTAGTACAGATTCAGATTCTGAGGATAAAAATACTTATATAACTTATGTTTGAAACTTTTTTCTAGGAAGTGCCTTTTTCAACCTCGGAAAATGAGCTTCGAGCTTCAAATCGTCCTTGTTACTTCTTAAATAAGTGAAAATCTTTCTTGGAAACCGAGAAAATATGAACTACCAAGTCGGGAATGCGCTCTCTATTAGTCATATTACTGACTACCGGTGTCGAATGGAAGTGGGTTCCGGAAGTGCATTCCAGAAAAGAGTTTCCGACAAAAGTTATGTATCCGAATGTGTTCTAAAAACATGTATGCCCTATTTAAAAAAAAAAAATGACTTCCGTTCGGTTTAAGAATACTACTAAAAGAGAGAGCATCTCTGATTTGGTAGGTCATATTTTTCCGCGTTTCAATAAAAAAAAAGCATTTCTCTCCATTTTAGAGAGACACTTCATATTATTGCTATGCATTTTTAACCATTGCATAAGTTCCTTGAAATTTCCGCTTCTCGCAAATCACTCAAGAATTCTACGCGCCATAGAAAAGTGAAAGTTTTCTTTTATTCTGCTTTAACTGTTGGCTCAAGTAAGTAAATATTTACTTACTTAATATAGCCATGCACATATTTGTATTATTTATTTATACATATACATATATAAGCCGCAAAGCAGCAGCGACAACCAACATTATTTGTTAGTATCAACATTATTGCACCGTCTGGCCTGACAGTGGCGTCTGCTAGTTATTATGTTGCAATCATTTTGCAATTACATACATACATCATCTCCCGAAAGCGTCGTTTGCACTTCGCAACAATTTCGTCATCGGTAGAAACTTTCGTTGCGCATAAGGGCTGTTTCCAGAGTTTCCAGAAAAAAATATACTTCAATGCCCGCATTTTCACAAACATACATACATACCTACTTGCAACATAGCTTTCTCTACCTACTGCCACTACTTTCCCAGCGCCAGTTCTTAGCGTTTTACGTATACACATCCAATTTCAGTGCGCTTGCACTGCTAAGGGCGCGAAGGCTAGCGAATGCGATTGGCGTACGTGTTGTACTGCACTCTGCTGTGGATATTACACTCACAAATGTCTACTCTACGTAACTTTTGTTGCGTTGCAAAATGAATTTATGTTTGTATTTTCTATGGCCCCCATTCGATTCATTCTCCCTTAGCATTTGCTTTTTGTCTGGAAGTTTAGTTTGATTTGTGCATTGGCGCATGCCACGTTCTCCCCAACAGTCACACTCTCTGGTTTGAACCCCCCCCCCAAATATATCTACCTTCGTTCAGTTTTGCTAACCCCCAACCGGAATGAGAGAGGGTGGATTTTGTATGTAGTACCATTGCAGCTGATTGTGAATTCAGCTTTGCGTGTATATATACTCGTATTTACGTTTGTATGTATGTTGCAAATAGCGATGCAAGGTACTCGTAGTACTTGCAGACGCAGCACATTTTTGCTGCTTGCATGTTTGTTCCTTCTCGTCCATTCGCTTGTATTCTGCTGGTGAGTTTGTTTCTTCCATATTGTTTGCCCTGCTGATTTCACTAGTAAAATTTGAGTAGTATGTGCGTTAGGGTGATCAAAAAAAAAAGTTAAGTCAGAATTTTCAATGCTTTCCTAGGGTTGTTCTATGCCAAAAAATACGCCTGTTTTTTATTTCGAAACCAAAAAGTATTTAGAGGTCTCTCAAAGCGCTCAAAGTTTTTTATGTATGTTATAAGTACTTATAGGGAAAAAAGTTTCATGAGACTTCCAATAATACTTTACACCCAATTGTTTACTTTATCATTTTTAATACAAACGATTTTTTATGGGTCCCAAATTGCATTTTTTGTGTTTCGGGAGACCTATAAAATATAGTTACTATTAAAAATGGTTAAATAAACAATTAGGTATTATGGGAAGTCTCCTGAAGAGAAACAGAGTTTTCCGTTCGAAAAATATTGATTTTCAAGAATTCTATACCATTTCTACGAAAAGTTGTTTTTTTTCATATAAAATAGATGGAAAACTTTGAGCGACCACTGAAAATTTTTTGATTTCAAAATAAAAAAGGGTCATTAAAATCCCAATTTA